GTGCTATGTACCCTTAACATTCCAAGAGATTGAAATCCTCTGTTATAATGAATATTCAAGTTCATGAATCTCCTGTTTTTCATTGATGTGTACTCGCCAAATGTTAGGTTAAATTTGCTATTAGTTAAAATGACTTTTTGTAATAAAGCAATTATTTGTTTCTTGATTATTTCAAAGTATTTCATCACTAAATCACAAACAGTTTGATGACTTTTAGGCAAATTATATCCTTGAGCACAAAATCCTGATTGTAAAACTTGGCTATTAGCAATGGTTGTAAAACTTATTCCACCAATAGCGGTCAATCTGATTAAGATTTCAGGTAAAGTTTTAATCCCAGAACTAAAAATGTTTTTAATTCTTGGTATTTTAGGAACACGACTAATTTGGACAGCCTTAGAGGCCAAGGTATTACATTTAAAAATATAAATTTTATGTTTCGTTTTTAAGTGTCTTGTAATAGTGCTTGTTGTTGAGCCAGGAGTTTTTAATAATATTTTACAAATTTTACATTTGGCCACAGAAACGCTGTTTTTCTAAATTTTGAATAGCTACAAATAAATCAAAAAGGAAAGAACATTGTTTTCAAAAATTGTAACAGTTTTAAAACACTAATTTTTTTTTATATTTCAGCTGTATTTATCAAAATGACCGTTGAGGCATTTCTTCTGAAAGTTCAAACTTTTAAGCAAAAAAAGGTTCGAACTTGAACATTGAAATTTTGGCGTAAAGTTCGAATGTTTGAACTTGAACATGTTTGAGCTAGCAGCCGTACATTAAACCTTATTATTACCCATAATAGGGGGTTTTTCATCTGTGCATCACAATAAAACATCACTACTTGACAATATAGACTTGAAAGTTGTACAAATCTATTTTTAATCAGTCAGGAAAAAGCTTGATTAGATAATGAGATAATTATTTTTTAATTTTTGTTTTTTAATAATAGGTTTATAATAGTTTTTAAACTGACAATATAATGATGTATTTGACGAATCTAAAGTAAAATTTAAACATTAAATTAAAAGAAAAACTTTAAACTGATATTTAAATAATAAAAATATTGGTAAAATTAGCCAGCTTTATATTTTTTATGAAAAAAATGAGCTAGTTATTAAAAAGTGTAGAGTTAAGTGAGCAAATTATTAAAGAGTGAAGAGTTAAGTGAGCAAGATACTGAAGAGTGTAGACTTAAATGAGCAAGTTATTGAAGAATGTAGAGTTTAGTAAGCAAGTTATTAAAGAGTTTAGAGTTAAGTAAGTAAGTTATTAAAGAGTGTAGATTTAGGTGAGCAAGTTATTGAAGAGTGTATAGCTGAAAATTTGGTTACTTCCTTTGATTTGTTTTGACATTAAGCTGATTGTCAAGTTATTTTTGGACAGAATGTCCAAAAATCTAGATTTAAAAATGGTATGCCATATAAAAATCGGGTATGCCATGTAAAAATTTTTTTGTTGAAAGACATTAATCAAAATATTATTCAAGAATTTAAAATGTTTGAGATATTGATGTTCAAAGCATTGACATTAAAATGATTAATCATTACTTTGTTATCTTTTAATTGTGTTTATCTTTTTTTTCATTTAAATGTTGTGTTTATCTAGTTGCGCTTATCTTGTTGTGCTTATCTTGTTGTGCTTATCTTTTTTGTAAAAACAAAGTTTAAATAGTTATAGCTTTTATTATTGTTAGTATTGCTTTAAAATCTTTTTATTTTGAAAACTGTTAAAATTTTTCAGATATTGTATTATATGTTGGCAAAGTTTTGCATTTTTTAAATTATTTATATTTATACTTGCTAACTATACTAATCTATACTTGTGTTAACTTATAAAATTCTTTAAGTACAGTTTTAAAGTAGATTTCTTTTAGCTAAACTTTGTTCTTGTTTATATTTTCTTTATTACATGTTGGAATTGAAAAGCCACACATATATTACCATGATGTCTGCATTCTTGAGGCCCTCTGAAATCTAGTACGTTTGTCTCAGTTTCAGCTTCTAAATTAATGTTTCTGAACAAATTTGGTGTTCAGTTTAATAATAAAAAAAAAAATCAGCTTTCTTCCTGGCCAGATTATATCTACCTAATGAGATAGCAAATGATGTCAAATCATTTAAAATATTGCTTCACTTAATCAATAAGCAAGTTGCATCAGGATGTCTCGAAGTGGTCCACATTATTTATACTGTTTAAAAGTGTTGCAGCTTATGGCACTAATGAAATTAATCAAATAAGCATATTGTAGGATAAAAAAGTTCCTGTAATAAATTTTTGAAAGAAATTTTTTTTTTTTTATTTATAATTTTTTAAATAATTATACTCATGCAAAATAAAAACTATAAACATAATCTTGTGTAATGAAGTGTATGACGATATAGCAATAGCAAACTATGTTAAAATCGATAAGTTGATTTTAACAACACCTAACCTTTAACAAGACTTTACTTTTATAAAAAATTTGTTGACATTTATGAAAAATCTGTTGTAAAAAGTTGTTGGCATTAGTAAATAACCAGTGTTAAAATTTGACTGCTGCCTGAGCCAGGTTTGATAAAAAATTGCTGGGGCCAGGGATGGATTATGACCGGGGCTGCTAAAACATTTATACATCCTGAAGTAAATTTTTTTAATTCAAAATTCATGTTATTTGTATATATATGCATATTTTGATGAACTTGATCATCATAATTGTCAATACTATTATCACGATCATGATTGTTATCATCATCATTAACATCATTATGATCATTATCAGGCTTTAGCCTTCCTTTTTTATACTGTTTTTCTCATATAAACAATCTAGAGTGTTTTCTTTCCTTAACTAATGCTCATTTATACAATAAGTAAGGCACTCTTTTCAAGTTTTCTTACTTCTACCACTACCATTTTCTCCTTAAGCTTCTACCTTTCTACATGCTGATATCTAAATCACTTTAATCTTCTCTAACAAACATTGTTCAATACAGCATTTTTTCTAATGTCTAAAATTATGCCTTCTTTTCTTGTCTTGTTAGAGTCACACCATACATCCATCTGATCGTCTTCTCTTTTGGCAAATACTACACCATATAAATACTAAAGTTTATATAAATATGTAAAGATAATGTATGCCAGGATCTAAATAAATAATAAACATATATATTTATATCTATATTTTATAGGCATAATAAATGCACATTTTGGAAGCTTTAATTTCTTCTCTTTAATTTTAAGTCCAACCTCATTCTACTTCACATTTTTCACTATCTTGAGTAGTTGCTGTATTTAACCGCAATCATTATTTTCATCTTTTTTACAAAAACATCTCTCTATTACTAAACTATTAAATTAGTGCTAAATAAGTGGTTCCAATTTTCAAAAATTGGAACCACTTATTTAGCACTTTTTAATACTTAAGCAAAAATTATGACAAGAAAATAATGATAGAGTAAAAACTTTTAAAAAGTCTTCACTCTATCATTATTTTTTTATATAAATTTTTTGAAGTTATTAAATCATTTCTTTCTAAAAGCAGTATTAAAGGTTCTAACGGCAGTATTAAAGTTATTACTGAAGGCTATTACTCTTCTTCTAAACTTCGTTTCGAGTAACTTTAAAGGTACCACAAGGTTCTATCTTTGCTCCTGTATTGTTTCTTATCTACAATAATGATTTTCATGAAAACTTTATATCTTCTCATCCAAATGGTTCTATTTGCTGACAACTCAACTTTGTACTCTTGTCTGGGCAAAAGGTCCACTTTTTAATTGCATAGAACAAACAGCCGATTTGTGGATTTTAAGTCTGAACTTAAAATCCACAATTTTTGTCAGACAACAAAGTTCATTTTTTTTCTTCAAAAAAGTATTGCAATATCGTTTGCATTCCTATATTGACCAATAACAACCCTCTTACTCTCAAAAAAGTCTAAAAGCACAAACTTGAGCCACTCTTCGATTGTCATGAGGATGCATTTCTTTCTTTTTTCTACAAACACTATTATGGTCAATATCTAAACGAGCTATCATCTCTATTACAATAAACCAAAACTCATTCTTGCTTGGCTTTTTATTCAACAAGTTGGATCCTTTTACTGTATCTGTCCCTTCATGCTATAAAAACTTTTATTAATCCAGTTTTTTTTCTTTGCACATTAAAAAAACTTTGTAACTCTTACCCATCTTCATGTTTTCCTTTTTTATACAACATACAACTTTTTAAATCTTCTGTTAACCCTTTCCTAGCTTTTTAACCCTATCCTCTATTTTAAAGTAACTCATAACTTAATAATAGTTGCTTGCAACCTTGTTTGAATTAAGAGTTTAAAAATATGTAAATATATGCCAGTATTTAATAAATAGTAAATATAAACATAAAATTATAATGTACAAAGTATTATAAATTTTTTTCTACCCCTGGCTATCAACCTCTGCTAAATCTTATAATTTTGCAAGGGCAGGTTTGCAAAAAGTCTCATTGATAGCCAGGGCTGGGGTCACACCAGTCAGTTACTAGTTGCCATATACAATTTGTTGTAAAAATTGTAGACTGATATAATTTGTTGTAAAAAGTTGTTGACATATATAATTTCGATAGTATATTTTTTAATAGGCAAATTACAATATAAATGAATGGCTTGTAATCTTCAAATAATGGAAGCATTAATTTATAATTTAACTGATTTATTATTAAATGAGCTTAAATATAGTTTTTAAGTCTTTACATAGTATTTTAGTTGTTTAATCTTTGTGCACTAAAAAAATGAAATGAAAAAATAAAAAAAGGTATAAAAAGTATTAGTATAAAACATGAGTTTAAAAACTTTTTAAGAATTATTTGTTGAGATGAACTTTTTAAAGGTAAAATAAATACAAACATGATAGAAAATACAAACATAATAGAAAATACAAACATAATAGAAAATACAAACAAAAATAGAAAATACAAATAGAAAATATAAACATTCAGTGACTTAATATAAAAAAACTTCTTAAAGCTTTGAATTTTTTTTTTTTTAGATCAAGAATTATGAGAAAAATGAAATTAGAGAAGCAAATAATTTGAAAGTGAAAACAGAACACAATGTATTTTTTTTTTTTCTTCTTTTTTGAGTATGTCTTTTTTACTAAGAAAAAGTTGTAAACAAGCTGAGATTAAGACTATTACTAAAATAGTTGTTTTTCTTTTATCATTGCCACTACTAATTTACAAATTGACCAACCTTGATAGAAAAAACTATTTTTTTAATAAAATTCTTCAAAAATAAATTTTGGCATCTACAAAAAAAGTTTCATTTTTAAAGTCTTGTCTCATTTCTAAAATCTTGTCTCATTTTTAAAATCATGTTTCATTTTTAATCAGATTTTAAAAGTATATATATCAAATGAGACCACAAAAATAGTTTTAGCATTTTTTTTTTTTGTATTTTTATATTTATATTTTTTTAACTTTATATACAATTGCTTTATTATTTTCAATAATATATTTTGCAATAAACTAGAAGCTGATAGTCATAGAGCAATTTTATGTAATTTTTGTTCTTGTTGGGTTCATGCTAAGTGGAGTCAAGTCAATAAATCTTCATATAATCTTGTTGAAGACTCTTCTGGCTGGTTCTGTAGTGGCTGCATAATTAAGAATATGTCTTTTAGTATACTCTCTGATTTTGAACTTTTTTTGACTTTTTCATGTCGGACTCTTCCAACTAATATATTAAATTCTTTGGAAAGTCTTTAACATTTCAAAAATTTATTTAAGGATTTAAATAAAATCTCTAATTTGAATACTAACTGCAAATATTATGATATTCTTGATCTTAGTAAAACTATAAAATCAAGTTCTGATTTATTTAAACATTGGATCTTTACTTATTCATATCGATGATCTTTGCAGTCTCATAAGCTAACTTACTTCTCTCCCTATTGTGTTTGGTATTTCAGAATCTAAATTACACATTAATGATTCTAATATAACTGATATAAATATAAATGGCTATACTATTGAACATTGTCCCACTGAAGCCAAAAAAGGAGGTGCTCTTCTATACTTGCAATCCAAGATAATCTACAATGTTCTACAAGATCTTATAGTATATATCCCAAAGTATTTGGAATCTGTCTTTGTTGAAATTGTCAATCCTTTTAAAAAAAATATCATCATTAGCTGTATATACTGACACCCTTCATTAAATCCTAAGGTATTCATTTCTGATCATTTTAACCCTTTTCTTGAAAAACTTAGTTCTGAAAATAAACAGGTTGTGCTAATGGGCGACTTTAATATGGACCTACTAAATTACAATGAATCCAACATCATCTCTGATTACTTTAACTTATTATGTTCTTACTCATTTTTCCCTACAATAATTCAACCAACACTTATAACTTGTTTATCAAAAACAATTACATCTTTTTAAATTTTCAAACTCCTAATCTAGTTTCTGGCAACCTCACAATATCAATTTCAGTTCACTTAGCACAATTTGTTTGTATTCCAAATACTCCCCTTAAAAACAAAAAAGTAATAACTACCAAACCATCCTTTAGGAATTTTGATAATTATAAATTTATACAGGCAGTATCAGATATTAACTGGGAACTTGATATTAAGAATGGTGAAGATGTTAATAAATCTATGAACTTCTTTTTTTAAAAAACACTTAATGCAATCCTTGATTGTCATGCCCCATACAAAAAACTTTCTGCAAACTAAATTAAACTCAAATCTAAACCTTGAATCACCTATGGAATTCTGAAATCAATTAATATAAAAAACAAGCTCTATAAAAAATATATAAAATCTAAAAATCCCAACACAAAAATTAATCTATTCAATAAATTTAAATTGTATAGAAATAAAATAAGCAATTTATTAGAGTTCTAAAAAGTCATACATTTCCTTCTTTAACAATAACCTCAACAATACAAAAAACACATGGAAAGGAGTAAAAAAAATTATTAACATCAAACTTTCTTTGCCAAATAAGTCTTATAATCTTAAATATAATGGTAAAATTATCTCAGACAGTGTGACCTTTGATGACATATTCAACAAACACTTTCAAACTGTACAACGCCCGCCATCAAGCAAAATTAGTTCCTCTAAAAGTATTTTTTCTGATTATTTAAAAAACCCAAATTCTAGTTCCTTTTTCCTTAATCCAGTCACCAAAAACGAGGTATCTGACTTAATAAGAAATACCCTGCAAAATGAGAAAAGTTTAGGTTCAAACAGTTTTCCCACACGTCTTCTTAAACTTACTGCTCGCGTTATTTCTAAACCTTTCTGTACTATATTGAATAATTCTTTTGAAAAAGGGCTTTTTCCAGATGTGTTTAAATTAGCCAAAGTCATTCCACTTCATAAAAAGGGTTCTCAATTATAAAAAGGAATGCATATCAGACTTTACAACTTTTTTGAAAAAATTAAAAATGTCTTTACAATCATCAGTATGGTTTTTGTAGCAAACACTCCACAAATCATGCACTTATTAATATAACTGAGTCAATTAAAAAAACTCTTGACATTAAACTTTTTGCGTGTGGTATGTTTCTTGACTTATATAGGGCATTTGATTCTGTTGATCACTCAATCCTCCTAAGTAAACTAGAACACTATTGTGTTAGAGGTATTGTTCACCAATGGTTTTTATCATATCTTTTTAATAGGTCACAGTTTGTCATCATCAATGATGCTAAATCTTTGCCAATATTTTTTTCCACAGGTGTACCATAAGGATCTGTATTAGGTCAGTTGCTTTTCCTTATTTTTATAAATGATCTCAATAAGTCTTTAAAATTTTCAACTGCTTACCATTTTGCTGATAACACAAACTTACTCCTTTCAAACAAATCATTAAGAAAAATCAACAAACATATAAATCATGATTTATCCAATCTTCTTCAATGGCTGCCATCTAACAAATTAAGTCTTAATACCAGCAAAACTGAGCTTATCATTTTCAAATCAACTCAATCTAAAATCACTAAATACCTAAACTTCAGACTATGTGGCCAAAAAATCTTTCCTATGATTTATATATGTATGTATATATGTATGTATACATATACATACATATATACATATACATATATATATATATAATATATATATATATATATATATATATATATATATATATATATATATATATATATATATATATATATATATACATATATATATGTATATATATATATACATATATATATACATATATATATATATATATATATATATATATATACATATATATATATATATATATATATATATATATATATATATATATATATATATATATATATGTATATATATATGTATATATGTGTGTATATATATATATATATATATGTATATATATATATATATATAATATATATATATATATATATATATATATATATATATATATATATACATATATATATATATATATATATATATATATATATATATATATATATATATATATATATATATATATATATATATATATATATATATATATATATATATATATATATATATATATATATATATATATATATATATATATAAGCAATCTGACGTCATACTGAAATAGCCTGCTGCTGGTGGCTTCAGTACATACATCGACTGACAAATAGCCTGACTCGCAGTTGAGTGCTGCTACATCGACTGAGGGTTTGGGATGGGGCAGCAATCGTTTTATTCATCATTCTTCGTTTTTTTTTTCTTTTTTAAAAATAACGGTGTAGCGTAAGGTTAGCAGAAAAAGTGAGCAAATGCTTATCAAAACACGCTTAAGTAAGTGTATATATATATATATATATATATATATATATATATATATATATATATATATATATATATATATATATATATATATATATATAAATATATATATATATATATATGTATATATATATATATATATATATATATATATATATATATATATATATATATGTATGTTTATATATACATATTAGACATGCATATGTATATACATATATATTTATATATGTATTTATATATGGTCATTGTTTTGTTGAAAAAAGAATTTGCGATCTAAATTCAATTTTTTATCGAAATGACATAAATGTTTAGAAAGCAAATCATCATGCAAATGTCCTGTCTTTAAACCTTCAACATTTGCCAGCCTTCCTTCACCATTTGAAGCAAAGCATCCCTAAACTATATGTGAGTCACCTTCATGCTTGACAGTTTTTTTAAGAGTTCTATCTAAAAGTGCATCATAATATCTGCAATTTTTTATCCTTTTTCAAAGCCAATTATTTAAAATTTACTCTCATTAGGCCATAACACTAAGTTCCCAAATGCTTCACTCTTGTTAATATGCAGTTTTGCAAATGCTAAACGTTTTTTTTAAAATACCGCTAATGAGGGGTTTACTTTTCTGAAGATTTTTATTAAACAACTTGAATTAAGTCTTTTCTGTACAGTTTGAAACATTTAAATTAAGATTTTCAACAATCTGTTTTGAGAATTGCGCTCTATACTGAAGGCCTATTCATTGCAAAAAGATGAAAAGCTCACATTGAAAAACTTGCTAGAGAATTTTAAACTTTTTAAAATTAATTTTATTTACTCTTTTGTATCTTCAATAAATTTGTATTATTAATGTTTTTTAAATTATAATTTTTTGTAAATAGTTTTAAAACACTGTATTTACTACTGTATTATTTACTTACTTGTTAAATCCATAGAGTGTTAGGAGTTATATATAATATCTATATAACTCCTAACATTGTTATATATAACTCCAAATATTGTATTTAATATACAATGTAAAGAGTAATATATATATATATATATATATATATATATATATATATATATATATATATATATATATATACATATATATGTAATATATATGTTATGTCATGGCATATTTTAATATTCTCTTAACTAATTATACTTTGTGAATTTTATACTTTGATGCCAAAGAAGTGTTGTGTATATATGGCTGCAAAACTAATTATCAAAGTACCAAAAACAATAAATGCTTTGAAAAAATACCAGTTTATCGCTTCCCTAAAGATAAAGAACAAAGAAATAATTGGATAAAAATATTCCA